GCAATTAAAACAACGGCGGAATTAAAAATTGATAGTGTCGATCTTAGGGTCAAGCACATATTTCCAAACGACGAAATCAAATTGGCTCTGCTGAAATCGATTAGATTAGATCAACCCATATTGATACCCTATAGACGATGGGAACTTCATGAATATCCTGCCCTAACCGCGGGCTCTACCAAAGAAATTTGGTCTGTCAAGACGTGCGCGGCTATCGAAAGCCCCCGATACGTAATAGTCGCTTTTCAAACAAATCGCAAAGACAACGAAGCGAAAAATGCGACGCTTTTCGATCACGTCGACGTAACGGATATAAGATTAACACTAAACGGAGAATATTACCCTCACGAACGTTTACGATTAGATTTTGAAAAGAATGACTTCGTGGAAGCGCATCACAATTACACGGATTTCTACCCCAGTTATAAGGGATGTGAGGAAAAAACTGCGTTGCTTGACTATATGGCTTTCAAAAACTGCGCGATTTTCGTCATTGACTGTTCTCGAAGAAACGACAGTGTAAAATCCAGCACTGTCGACGTAAAGTTAGACATCGAAGCAAAAAAGGGATTTCCCGCGAATACACGTGCCTATTGCATCATCATTCACGATTGTATCGTGGAACAACTACCGCTCAGCGAGATTGTTCGAAATCTAACATAAATACCGCCGGAGGAACCTAATCTTAACCAGTCATATTAAAAATGCGCATCGTTGCGGTAGATATTCAAGGCTTCCAGTTAGAAGATGGATTTGTCGTTAAAGAAATGGCTGTCTACAATGGATGTCAAATTAGTCATTACGTTTTGAAACCGCCGCGTGAATATTGCACGTTGACCGGTGCAGAAAAAAGGACGGTACGCTGGCTCGAACAATATCATCACGGTCTCAAATACAGTTCTGGTTTTGTTCAATATTCCGACATTGATACGTTGATCGGACTACTGATAGAAAATGCTGACTTGATATACGTGAGAGGAAGATCAAAAATGGAATTTTTAATGTCGAAAATGGATCAGGAGGATGTCGCATGCAGAGTCATTAACGTGGAGAAATTCGATGATGATAATTGGTTGAATCCGCCGAAATTTCAACCGGATCACGCCCATTGCATGTTTCACTCCGGAGGAAGACTGCGCATGTGCGCGTTGAGAAATTCTGCCCTTTTATATAATTGGTTGTATTCAAGGATCCCTGTATGAAATAAAACTTTCTTTATTTAAATAAGACTTTTTATTTCAATCCAAAAAAATTAATAATACATTTACACGTAAAAATAAAGCACGCTAATGCTATGATATGAATACAAACTGCGAAACTGTAATCTATTGAAGTATAATTCTTTTTTCGTTCCATTTCTCGAGTAATATTCTGCGTCATCTCACGCAAAATAGCGACTAAAAGCGTTTGGTTCATCACTTCTCTTTGTTATTTTACCTATAAAAGATTAGCTAGGAACCGAATACATTTTAGTATTTTACTGACCTTGAACGAGATGAGAGTCTTGTTGCTATGCTACGCTGTCTTTACTACCTGTTCGGACGTGTCGACGATAGTCGCCGCGCTGCCCGAGGAAGGTGTGATTGAATATTTACAAAAATTCGGATTCCTTTCACCTAACGACAACGAATCTTTAACGCAGATCAATGCGTCGAGTTTGCAACGTGCCCTAATGGATTTTCAGGATTTCTATAATTTACCGGTGGATGGTACTCTTAATAACGAAACCGTCGAACTAATAAATAAACCCCGATGTGGTGTAATAGAAAATGCCTTCACGACTGTTTCGCGATGGCAGAAAACGGATTTAAATTGGTATATTCAAGTACCGCCCAGTCACTATCAAGAGTTAAAAGTGCTGGCAACCGAGGTTTTTAAAATATGGAGTGATGAATCAAATTTAAATTTTTTCTTAAATTATTCAGAGCCGGATATAATGATTTTGATGTCTGACAAATATACTACCCACAGACAAAGCATAAGATGTAAAGGGAACGAATCCTGTCCTTTTGCTTTTGACGGAAGGGGTAACATATTAGGACATGCATTTTTTCCAAATCAACAACAAGAGTGCGTGGAAGTTCATTTGGATAAATCCGAAGATTGGTACTACGGTTTAGAAGTGCCTGCGCCCGGAGGAAAAACGAGCTTGTTTACTGTGTTGTTCCACGAAATTGGACATACGTTGGGTTTGGCGCACAGTAACGATCGCAATGCCATTATGTACCCTTGGTATAGCTTAAATTCTAAGACATTGTCATACGACGATGTTGCAGGTCTTCAACGTTTATATGGTAAAAAAACCACAACCACCGTCCGCGTAACAACTCCGACCACAACAACATCAACTACCACTACTACCACAACTACGAAACCTCCGATAGGGAAAAACGAAACAAAAGTACCAGATTTGTGTCACGTAAATCCATCCATATTTTTGGTTACGTCTAACCATCATATGTATCTATTTTACGACAAATGGGTTTGGATAATAAGATTAGGTGATAAAGTCTACATGGAACCTAAAATGATATCAGATTATGTCCCTATTTACGCTCCTATTTCGCATATCTACCAGAGACCCAACGGACAACTTTTGGTAGTCACCGGTGATTCGTTTTATTTACTTCACTTCCCGAGTTTCACGGTAGTGGGCGACCGACAAAGCGTCCAGCGACTGGGTGTGCCTGCGGGTAAAACAGTGAACGCTATTTTTAATACGTATGGCGGTCGAACGTATATATTTTACGGTAAACGCTACTATGCAGAAATAGACGAGTGTTCTTTGAGTGCGAGTGAACACGGTTTTACTACGGAACTGTTTCCGGGTCTGCCCGACGATTTGTCGGGCGCGTTTCGATACACCAACGGACATTTGTATTTTTTCAAAGAGAAAACGTATTACGAATACAACGAATTTTTGAATAAATTAACGAGAGTCGGTGAAATAGACTTGAGTCTTGTCGCAATTAATTGTCCCACAGAGAGTGTCTTTAAACAAATTAGGGATTTGTTAAGAAAGTTATCGATCTTTCACAACAATGAATAAGAAGTTAGTTTTCTTCGACGATTTTAGAAGCTTGGATACCGATCAACTTGAATTGATTCCTGTGCAACATTTCTTGGAGCATGTGAGACCGCACGATTTGTTAAATATGTGGCATAAGTTACCAGTACGACATCGCAACAATTTTGAATTGCAAACTCATTTGCCCTGCTTTGTTCACTATAACAGACCGGACAGCAAAATGCATATCGACGGCCCGGCACCTCCCCAGAATAAATGTCATTATTGTTTGAGTGTTATAAAAGCAGTTACCGAGATCTAGGATAGATTCATTCGGGCTAGAAACATGGTTTTGTTAAGTGCTCACTTTGTTTTGTTGTCGGCTGTGGTACAAAACGTTTTCTATATACATAAACCTAAGGATGTGATTGAAGCGTTCGTTTGTTTCAAAAATCGGTGCATTTGGCCCGATACGTGGACGCGTATGCAACTCGCTCAGGTCAACGGAATCGACAAGCTACAAACTTTTAGCGTGACATTGTCGAATAACACTACCGCAGATAAGCCGTATTTAAATTACAAGGTACGTTTCGTTTTCGCGAACCGGAGCTACGAAGACCACGGCGAATGGCAAACGATCGCTATCAAGAATTCCAATAACACCAGCGGCGGCGTTAACGACATTTGCGGTAACGAATACAACATCTCGGCAGATCGAAAAACTATTTTAATCCCGCTATATGTAACTACGTGCGCTTGTTTGCTTCTTTTGGCAAAATGCTTATTCAAATTGACTAAATGTAAATATCTCTCTTAATTACACCGATAGTGGGGGGTTGTTGATATATAAGTACATTTGAATTTGATACCGAAGTCAGTCTGTTTGTCACAATGTGTAACAAAGTGGTCACTATCGATGAAAACACGATTTTCGAAATAAAGAATTCAGGTGTCCGTTTCATCTTCAAGAACAAGCACATAGATTTTCAAGTCCAGGATTTTTGGGATTTTTTGTTCTTTCTGGAGGACGAGGTGGGAGAAATCATGTTCTGGAACGACATAACAGTCTACATCGGGAGCAGTATCGAGGTGACCTATTCGAACGAAGAAGAGAGCTGTGAGTTGATACTGAAACAGGATCATGGCGACGAAATTATCCTCGACCGCGATGAAGTAGAAAATCTCATGGACCAGAAACACCGCTTGTACGAAGCATTACGTTGTCTACATATGAGCTAATAAATATTTACTATTGTATCTATAGTTTTTCTTTTATTAAACCGTGATTATTGAGACACTCTGTATAAGTCACTCGACTTGTTTACCGACGACCCGATCCACCGCGTCACCGCGCCACACCGTCTCCGCGCCGCACCGTCACCGCCCTCTACCGGGGGGGCCTACGACGGTCGGAGCGCGCGACATCTAGCAGCGACGGGCGGAACCGGGGCAAAACAGGACGCTACACAAGCGCGCGACATCTAGCAGCGACGGGCGGAACCGGGGCAAAACAGGACGCTACACAAGCTGGGTGGGGGGCGGAGCGCACTCTGGTAGACAGGGGGGACACTAGGACGCCACGCGCGGGGGGCCCCCGCTGCGGGGGGGTTAGGAAATTGAGGTTATGTACGGTTTCTGTTGCTTATATCGGCACTATACATCTACTTACGCTCCCCTTGCTTCCACGTCTCTTTATTCGTAACAATAAATGAGAATGTAGTCAACAAACTGTAGGCGTACATACAGTAGATAAAGCTACTTTCAAAAAAAATTAACAAACCCAAAGAAATACACGCATATACTGGTAAAATTCAAAAAGTAGGCAGTTCAAACTCGTTATAATTTAAGCAGGTCCAAAAATCTCACATCAACAAATAATTTTCAAATGCCTTGCTTATATCATTCGTCGATGGTACAACACTGAACGGGTTAAAAAAAGTCCCAAAAGCACCTTTACTGGGATCGCAGGCTTCCAGGATTTGTTTAGTGTTACCTTTTCTGTAAGGGGGATGTGGATCTTCTCCTCCATGTAATCGATCTTTTGGATTTTCTCGGGTGTATCCGCCATTTCGGGAGCGGCTTTTTCACTTGGTCACTTGTGTCTCGGTTCACAATAGCAGCGAAAATAAGAACCGCAGATTAAATACCATCGCGCGTATTATCAACAATAATAGCAAACAATGTCGTTGAAACTATTTTGCAATAACGATTCGTTTCAAAGTACAGGGTGTTTTTCGATTGACGCATTTAATAGTATCTACCTTAGATGATCATCAATGCCCTATATGGGTTGTTATAGGTGTATGGTCTCTTCATAGATATAAGAAAGTGACCAATGAACAGACCATACCCATATAGTTACCAGATATACAGGGTGCCCCACAACAAGACTGCAATAGCTTTGGAGTGTGTTGTTGGAGAGATTTCAAGTTAAAAATGTCAAATGAACATACACCAGGAAAATTCTAACTGAGCTATAAGCATTTGAAATTTTATTATTGCTAGTATTATTAGTATTACATTCGGCGTTTAATATTATTATTAAACAGTCCAAGTGACTGCGAATCTTATGCATTGTGACAATAAACGTGAGTTACATTAAAATACTCATCAAGGTACAATGTTTACTTTTTGGAATGAAGAATACGACATTCACTTTTTTTATGGATTGTGTAATAGAAACGGAATAGCGGCAACGGGTGAATATTGTCGAAAATTTCTCACCCTGCTCGATGTTTGAAAGAAACAGGCAAGTTTCCTACGTCCCGTTCAACATGACCTTGTTCAAGAATAGGCAATACTTAATACGATTGATGATCAATCTTCTACTAGTGTCCGAAGAATAGGTCTTAACGTTGGCCGGATGAGCGTCTGGAGAACTTTACACAAATTCGGTTTGTACCTGTACCACATTTTATCTATACGTGTTTTAAAACCTGCCGACTACGCTTCAAACTTGAATTTAGTTGCTGGATATTGAGAAATCAAAGGATTTGTCGCATAACGGTGTCAAATACACCAGTAATTCACATTGGTGGACACTTGAAAATCAACGACAAACTCGGAAATCTCCCATTTTGAAGATAGATTTTTGGTAAATATTTGATCGTGGCGTCGTGATGTGGCATTATTGATGACCGCCTCATTGGTCCTTTTATACTTCAAGAACGTGTCACGGTAATTCGTTATTTAAGTTTCATAGAAAATGATCTTAATGTAAGACAACGAATGTGGATTCACCACGATGGCGTACCTCGACAAGTAAGAGAATTTCTCAATCAAAATTATACAAGAAAAGCAAGAAGTTAAGCAGTTCCTTGGCCAACAAGGTCACCTGACCTTAATCCCTTAGATTACTTTTTTGGGGAAAAGTGAAAAATTTACTTTATGCAAAAAGTATTGGAAACAGAGGTAGCTAGAATTATGGATGCTACAGAAACTATTCGTGCTGATCGTGAGACTGTTAGCAGTTCAATTCTAAGAAGAGCCAGACTATGTATACAGCGACTGGGTGGACATTTGGAACAACTCATTCAATAAAATTAGTTATAAATAAATAAAAAATAAAGGAGTTTCTTTTAAATGGTCTTTAAAATTTCAAATTCTATGTTTGCGTAATGAACTACCATCAAAAGTGAGGACACTGAGTAATAAAATTTTTTAAAGATATTTAATAAAGTTTCTTCAAAGGCACTGTTTCTACTCCGTGCAGAAGTACATGGACAAAACTATGGGTATGTATTTTTTGACTTAATTTGTGTTCTTTTAGCTAATTCTTTCTTAATGTGTAATAGTCTCGTTTGTTGTTATTTTGTTTTACTGTTGCCTATGTCACTCACTCTTTTACAATTTACATTATTATTTGCCTGTGGAAAATAATTTGCCACAATTGCTTTTAAACAGAAAGTGCTTTATAAAGTATCTATCTATCCATCTATAAGTTTTATAGCAGAGAGCATGTTGCCAGTGCTGTATATTACCGGCGGTTTTACACCATACCCAGAATAATTGTTCCGTGTATCCCAAAGCATAAGTAAATAAGAAATTTAACTCAATAGTAACTCAAGGTAACAACAAGTCTTGCTAAAATTTAGTACGAATAATTATTCCAATGCAAGGGAGTTTTTAACCCCAATTTTACGTGGATCTTGTCTACGTTCGCTTTTGTTTATTTCCAACAATTTTTTTATTCAAAGTCCCTGCCAAACAATTGTTTTTTGTTGTGTATAATTTTTTCTCTTTGTACTCCAATGCCTATAATTTTGTTTTTTAATGGTACCATTTGAATTAAACGCAGTTTCTTCACTATACAGTATGACGATGAAAAAAGGGATTTAAATTTCACATTTCCATCATAGCTTGACAAAACTCTAGTCTGCAGTGGGGATCGTCTTCGTTCAGCTCATGTAGTAATATATTCTTGTACAGATGATAAATTTCTTCTTTCTTTTCTTTTAACTTCACTATTTGAAACTACTTCAGAAGATGCACGATATAGAATGATTATCCTCAACATCTAATCAAATGTTTAATCTTATGTTCTCATTAGTTTTAGGACAACCAGCTCATAGACAATCTTTTATATACCCTGTTTCTACAAATTTTCTCTCAATTTTACGCAATTCTCCGAGTTTGATTTAGATACGCCATATTCACTTTAACTGAAGAAATGTAATTTTAACAATTTAAAAAATTTTCTAGCACTGACTACTTACGTGGTACTACTACTACTCACCTGTCCATTTCAAAATTACATTTTTTTTATTCTTTTGCTCACAAAAAGGAAGAGATCGGTGAATCCGTGAAATTTGACAAAGAATTCAAAAAACGAATTAAAAAAAAATGAATTTCGTATCGAAATCTAAGTTTTGACCCACCCTGTATATTTTCTGTTAACTGCAAAATGCAAAAAATGCGAAAGAAAAAATTATGATGAAAGTGTGCGATAATATTTGCATTAAATCGAATACCTGATTTTTAAATGAATTTGTTCTATATTTTAGCCATTCATTGTAGAATGGAGACATAGGATTTGCATCTTTTTTTCTCTATTTTCTTGCTTATATTATCTATGCCAAATAACTTTTGCTTATTAAATTAAAAAAAATCTGATGTACCGGGTGATCATTTATAAAGTCGGGCGATGTTTCAAAATACCGCTACTCGTCGATAGATGGCAGCCGGGTTGTTAGCAAAAAAAGTATTGAAAAAAATATTTAAATAATAACAAATACGAGTACTGTACAAGGTGATCGATCACTTATAATATCGCTCCTTTAACTGTTTTATTTAACGTTCGGACAAAAACGACAAATACAAAAGTTGTTAAAAATAGTAAACTATATGTTTTTTTTATATACAGGGCGTTGCAGAAATCGCACACAGGTAAAAGTTACATATTTTTGATAAAACACTCTGTATATTATAGGCTTAATAAAAATCTACCACCCAAAATCCAATAGTTTTTGAAATAAATGCGAATTTAACTTAAAAGTAACATTAAAAGAAAAATAATATTCTTAAATTTATCATTAATATCATAGATGGCTGTGAAGTAGGTGGTCACCAAAAAACAAAATGTTTTTATGACTTAACAATTTACCAAACCTTACGATTTTTTTATTATTTTGAAGACAGAAAGGAAACGTCTGCTAAAGCAAATAAGAGTTATAAATTGACGAATGCATATTGCAGACAAAAAAATCTTTCATCGAATCTATGAAAAATTTCAACAAACATCCTGCCTAGTCAGAAAGAAGAGAATATTGTAAAGAGATGAAGATAGTGATTTACTAAAAGCTAAATAAAATCCCAATATTTCAATAAGAAAAATATCGGAAATCCCGAAAAAAGAGTTTATTGATCAACAAAATACATCGTACGGGAAAGATTCAAACCACTCTCAAAAAAAGCAGAATACAATACAATTCAAAATTAGGCCTATCACAAAATTAACGCCCAGGCATAGAGTAAAAAGGGTTGAGTTTTGCGATACAATGTTCGAAAAAATTAACAGAAATTATACCTATTAAAAAATGTTTTGTTAGACCGACGAGCCATCGTGTTCAACCAGTGATATGATAAATCGAAAAAACAGCAGTCAATGGGCCACAGAAATTCTCATTGCTTAAGGGAATTCCAATTTCAAGCACTTCAAACTGTAAATGTATTTTAAACAACACGATAATAGGTCCTCATTTCGCCGACGTTACTTTAAACGGTGATGGTTATCAAAATTTTCTTCAGAACGAATTCTAAATGAGGAATATTGGCAATCTATCGCTGCCGCTTTAGAAAAACATCCATCAGATTACCACCTACGTATTATATTATAACTAATTAAATTTAATATTGCGCTTAAGTTAACAAATACTCCGAAAACTGTTGAATTAAGGTATCGGATACAGTTAAGATATAACTAGGTATTAGTATTAATGTTCTCTTCTTTCTGGGTAGGCTCGATGTTTTGTTGAAAATTTTCAAAGATTCGATGAAAGTTTTTTTTTGTCTGAACCGTACAATCGGGATTAATTACAGTAAGCCAATTTATTTTCTCTTATTTGGGTTAATAAACGTTTCCAAAATTCATTGCTTTTCTCTTTGCAAAGAAGGCATTTTATATTTGATAAAAGTTTCGCTAAATCTGTTACCATTTTAATTTTTGGTGACAACCTACTTCGCAGTCACAAAGGATATAAATTATAAATTCTAGATTATTTTCTTTTGAATGTTGTTTTTATGTTAAAAGCGCAAATATCCCAAAAATAATTGGATTTGGGTATATATACATATTATACAAAGTGCAGGATTTTTAGGGGATTTACATTATATAAGTTTTATCTGCGGCTGATTTATGCAACAGCCTGTATATATAAAAATATATCTTGCAAATAGCTTATTATTTTTTGAACAACTTTTGTTTTTGTCGTTTTCTTCCCAAACTCGATTATTTATTTATTTAATAATTACTTTATTTATAATTTTAGACTTTCGAATAAAAAATATACATGATTAAAAAACGTACACATTTTTTAGGGGTATCCGTATTTTGAAACACCTTCTGTACTGTTAAATGCTCTTCATTGCTTAAACATGGCGGAAATTTGAGTCCCGTAGAATTC